TTGACTCTGGATTTTTGGTTCATTTTTCTTTCTCTGGTTATGTTGTACAGGATCTACGGTTCAAGAAGGTGATTGGGACAGGCCGTAGAAAGGGTGGGTTATACGTGTTGGAGGAGCTTCCTGTCCCAAATGTTGTTGCTGCTGCTTCTACTGTTGATTTATCTTCTTTTCGTTTGAGTCCAGAGTCATCTAGTTTTTATTTATGGCATTCTCGTCTTGGTAGTTTAGGAAGTCATGACATTTTCTGATTATAGTGGATGCAAGTTGGCTAAATTTAGTGCATTGCCGTTCAATAAAAGTGCTACTTGTTCACTTGCACCATTTGATCTTATGCACTCTGATATATGGGGATCGGCTCCTATTCCTACACAAGGAGGGTCCAAATATTATGTTTCATTTATTGATGATTATACGAGATACTGTTGGGTATCCTTGATGAAACGTCGATTTGAATTCTTTTTCATCTTCACTACTTTTCGTAACATGGTACACACTCAATATTCTGCAATCATTAAATATTTTCGATGTGATCAGGGAGGTGAATATACTCTTACTTCTTTTCATGATTTGTTAAAATATGATGGTACACTTTATCAGTCCTCTTACACTGACACACCTGAGCATAATGGTGTTGCCAAACGAAAACACGGTCTTATTCTAGAGACAACATGTTCCCTCTATTATCAGCACATATTCTCAGTTCATTTTGGGGGGAAGCAATTTTGATAGGAGTTCATTTGATCAACATTATTCCTACTATTCTCACCTCTGGATTCTCTCCATTTGAAAAGTTATATGGTAAGCCGCCTAACTATTTTTTTTTACGTGTGTTTGGTTGTACCTGTTTTGTTTTTCTCTCTAGTGTTCTTCGTACCAAACTTTCTACCCGTTCAGCTTTATGTGTATTTTCTAGGATATGGTGAGGGTAAAAAAGGTATCGTTGCTATGATTCCATCACCCACAAACTTTATGTCTCTCGTCATGTTGTTTTTATGGAGTATATTCTCTTCTTTTCTATTATGTCTAGTTCTTCCTCATTGAATAAGTCTGACCTACTATATAGCGATCCATTTCCTACTAATGTTCCTCATTACACGTATATTGGTGATTTACCTGTGTCAGATCCTTCCTTTTCCGAGTTGACTGTCCCTCGTCCCCCTATTATGCATACATATGTTTGCAAGACTCCAGTTATCTCCTCTCCGGATGCAGTGCTTCCCCTTTCTCCTTCGACTATCCAATTAGGTTCAGACACTGTGGATCATACCTCATGCTATCCTCATCACTCTCGCAAATGTCCAGACAGGTTTGATTTGAGTAATACTTGTTATTCTTCTAACTTTTATTCTTTATTTATTTCTATTCATTCTTTATCTGAACTCACCTTCTACAAGGAAGCTTTACTTAATCGACTTTAGAAACAGGCTATAGATGATGAGTTATCTACCTTACATAAGACCAGAACTTAGAAGTTAGTGCCTTTACCACCTGGTAAATACCCAATTAGTTGTAAATGGATTTATAAGATAAAAACCAAGTCGGATGATTTTGTAGAACGATATAAAGCTCGATTAGTAGCCAAGAGGTTTGCTCAGGAATATGGTTTAGACTATGATGAGACTTTTGCTCCTGTTGCCCAAATAACTACTGTTCACATTGTGATTGCAGTTGTTGCCATTCGACAATAGAGTTTGTCTCAAATGAATATGAAAAATGCATTTCTACATGGAGATTTGATTGAAGAGGTTTTTATGACACCTCATCTCGGATTATCTTATAATCCTGGTCAAGTATGTCGACTTCATCGTGTCTTATATGGTCTTAAACAGGCTCTTAAGGCATGATTTGTCAAATTTTCTTTGGTTATCTGTGACTTGAATTTTCGCGCTAGTGACCATGATTCTGTCCTCTTTTTATAGTCTACTTCCTCCGGCTCTATTATTCTTTTACTATATGTTGATGATATGATTATTACGGGTGATAACACTATTGGTATATGCTTATTGAAAACTCAGTTACAAGATCATTTTGAAATGAAAGATTTAGGACAACTTGGGTATTTCTTGGGCATTAAGATTGTCTTTTTTCCTAAAGGTTATCTTCTCTCTCAATTCAAGTATGCATTTGACATTATTCACCGAGCTCGCTTATCAGATAATCGGACAATTGGAACACCTTTAGAGCTCAATGTTCGCTACTCTTCGTCTGATGGTACTCCCTTGTCTGATCCAACACTTTATCGCACTATTGTTGGGAGTTTAGTATATCTTACAATCACTCATCCGGATATTTCTTATGTTGTTCACATTGTGAGTCAGTTTGTTGCCTCACCCACCACCGTTCACTGGACTACTGTTCTTCGCATTCTTCGGTATCTCTGTGGTAATCTATATCATAAATTACTATTTCTCACTCTTCTTCTATGGAACTCAGGGCTTACTCTGATCTTGACTGAGCTAGTGACTCTATAGATCGCAAGTCCACCACTGCTTTCTGTCTTTTTCTTGGGGATTCTCTTATTTCCTGAAAAAGTAAGAAACAAACTGTTGTTGCTAGTTCTTCTCCTGAAGTTGAGTATCGTGTTATGGCATCTACTACAACTGAGATTATCTGGTTATGATTTGCTCCTTGCTGATCTTGACATTTCGATATCTTCTCCAACTCTTATGTTCTACGACAATACTAGTGTTATTCAGATTACTCAAACTCATTATTCCATGAGTGCACAAAGCACATTAAGATTGATTGTCACTTTATGCGTCATTATTTACAACAGTGCACTATCACTCTCCTATTGCTTTCTTCCACAATGCAGATAACGAATTTTTTTACAAAGTCTCACACCATAACACGTTTTCGATTTTTTCTTAGCAAACTCTTGATGTTTTCCACCACATCATAAGTTTGAGAGGGGGTGTTAGAGTATTAATAATAAGGGTAGTTTAGGCATTTTATTTTTGTTGTGTTGCCCTACTATATAAGGGTTATTTGTATATTTCTAGATTTAAGATGTTCATTATAGGACTTACTTTTAGTCTAATAATATAATCACTTTCTCTTCTCTATTATCTATTCTCTATGATTAATTCTATCAATTGATATTGTGGATACTGCAAGCGGCCCAAATTTAAGATACTCGAAACGAAATGGATTCGCAACCTAAATTTGCTCAAATTCCGAAGCTTCAATTACAACTAAAACTCTAAATTAACCAACGATATAGGTAATCCAAAATAATAGCCCAAGCCTCATATTATAACCTAATTAATAATTTTATTTTAGTGATTTCTAAACATATTTTAATTCGTGAGACTTGAATGTTTTTTCCTAATATAAATTTGCAATCATCAGCTTTTATTATTTATATCAATAATTTGGTGTGTTGTTTTCAATTATGGTGCGATTTAGAACTCTTTTTATAAAATTAGTTTAGCTACATGTATATGGATGCATAGTTATGCAGAATTTCATATAAGAGTGAATGCGACTCAAGTAAAAGTTATAAAGCAGACCTCGACCTAAAATGGTATACCAATTAAGTCTACCCCATTGCAGTGCATATCGAAAAAAACTATTGTACTGCAGATCTTGATCACATGCCATCAACCCACAATACAAATTACATTGGTCTGAACCTATTGTATCTTAGTCTCATTGGTAGGATTGCCATCACTCATCACCATCTTCATCATCATCACCTTCAGAAGCAACAGACCAACTTATGCTAGTTGTTTCAACAATAATATTAGTACTGACCATACATATACTGAGCCAACCCTGAGAATGTATAATTTTTGCATTCACCTCCTTAGTTTACATTGCTTTCACCTTCCCTTTATCTTCCTTTAGCCAGCACCAAACCAAAGTACTAGATAGGTATCATTGAATACAAGAGAGTCACCAGATCATAGAGTGTCAACCTGTGCTACTGAGTTTCCTTCCTGTAAAGATAACACATAATCTCCTCCTAATATCCTTTTTCAGATTGCATCATATCCTACAAACCTATAATTTCATCCATTTCTGATGCTCATTTTACAGAAAAATTTCAAACATATAAGCCCAAAACCTTTTGCCTGCATGTAGCAAAGTCAATCTTCAAGTTACCTTGCAACTTTGCTCGCAGATTAACTGTCTGACTCCTGTTGCCCAACACCAATTCAGCCCATTCGACACTTAAAATTTAGTTTATATCTCCATATATTGGCATTTTTTTTTTTATCCTCCATGATGTTCTTAACAAGATCACTGTATGATAGAAAAGTTCCAAAATTAACTTAAATCAATATCCATCTTCCAGTGTAAGTTTGTAAGCAGTCAATTGTTTAGATGGTATAATAACAGGCAGATACTGTGCTCCAAAGCTCAACTACCTCACTGATAATAACAGATTTAGGTTCATGGTTCAGTTAGGAGAGTAATGGGTCTTTGGTCCACTCGTACTCCTTACCTTGTGAATGCTTTGTTTTCTTAAGGTCAAGAGTTCAAGCCCCGTTCCCCCTCCCCCTCCCTCCCAAAAAAAAAAAAGTTGGGAGGGTAACAAATGAAGGGGATTACTGATTTTTAAGTTACACTACCCCCTATCAGCTTAAAATTTTTGACTAGCCAGTAATTCACATTCTAAAAAGACAATTCTTAGGCTTGAATATTTTTAATATATCTGCATCTTGCAACATAGCCCATTATTCCATCATTTTTTGCAGCCACCCATCAGTCCCCCTTAGGAAGCACAAAATATGCTGTGCTCCTTTGCCCCTCTTTTTCTATCCTTATTGTGATTGGTGGAATTTACACAGCTATTAAATGCCCAAACAATCATAAAATGTAACTTCTACCACTTGTTTTACATTTTTTCATGGAGAAGCTTATACATACACTCAATCTGCCACTTGATCTTTACATTATGTTAAAAAAGACAACTTGTCTGTAATATGTATGCTGAACTGCCGAAGGACATAACCTGTTAATTACATCTGAGTTGCAAGAGTTAAATTTTCAAATTATGTGCCTTTATGTACAGCAAAAAATACTAGAATGAATATTGGAGAAACCAGAAAAATAATATATGGAAGGAGGGCTTGACTTAGTGCACCTTCTTTATCTTCAGGCTCTTTTAAAGGGTAGTTGGCTTTATCTTCAATAAATGCTTCAAAATAATTTTGGTAACCCATGCTCACCAGAGGAAAAGATGAACCTGTAACCTTCATCATTTTCATGGCCTGCCATCAACCATGTGATCTTTAATTGAAAGTCTCAGCAAGATGAAAGTGATAACAACAATTTACATTTCACACTAAGGAAAAAATTCCCTGTTTAAATATAACTCTGAATTCATAAGATTCTACAACTTCTGTGTCACTGTTTCTTATGTAAGCTAAAGTGCCGTGAAAAAATAATATAGGAAAACCACCATGTGGCTTTGCAATCAGCTGCGCATATAACATAACAAGTTTTTGTCTCCTCCCTTCCTCTATCCCTCCCTCAATTTCCCCTTTCATTGTACACTAACCAAAACAATGTAATAAAAGGATTCAATGTTATTGTTGATTGCTATGCTACCCATATAACCTTGTAAGCATGTCAAACATGTCTCAACTTTTGTCAGAGCTCCCCCTCCCAAACTAGTACGTGAGCCTCGTAGGCCTCTCCACACATTCCCATTTGGTTTTGGTTGGATGGATTTAACCTGGCATTAGAGCCGGCCAAATAATCTCAACTTCTTTAGATTGGTAATTGAATCCCCTGTTTTGCGCAATAGGTGCACTTGTTACGTCGCTAAATTCATCATATAATTCCTTTTTTCTCTCCATGTGCAAGTGGGGGTTGCAAGTGTGGGGAGTGTTAGACCTTGCCCCATATTAAAAAAAAAGAAACCCGAACTGGGATATGAACCTTGGGGGCCCTTCTATTCATTACCTTTGGTTTTGGATTGGATACCTGTAACAACTTCATTATCAACATGCATATCTCTGTTCAAAAAAAAATCATGCATATCATGGTTCATTTTATTCGACACCATGTCATAAACTTCATACAGATTAGTGGTTATGAATCTTCAACTCCTCTGTAGCAAATTTTTTTTTCCTGTAATTCATGCATTAAGGAATTACCTCCTATTTCGTTACCTGGAAACTGAACATAAATTGCCTAGCTCTCTTGCTCACTTGAGCATTGGGATGAGACTGAAGCTTCTCATACATAACTCGAGCTTCATTGAACCTGTCAACAATATGACTGTTAAGTTCACCTCTATTGAGTCAAAACTGAAATATGGTTAACTTTGAGATGAAACCCAGAAAGTTGTATCACACATTTACAACCGAAGGTTTAATATATCCCATATGGCTAATTGTGCAACGTAATTGATACTTGCATGAGAATAACACAATACTTTACTAAAAGGAATGGCAAGAAAGGTTGCAGGCAAGGATCAAAATTTTGTTTCGTTTTAGACAAAACAACTTAAAAGAATTCAAAATCAAAATTCTCATGATCGAAATATTTTGAAATTTTTTCAGATGCTTCTAAATGTTTCAAAATCAAAACTCCAATGTTTCTAAATGTTTTAGAGTCAAAATCCAATTTTTATTTGTTTCCATTATGTTTCCTATTAGAGTGTTACTTTTTTATTGTTCTACTTTCCTATTATATTGATAGAACATTCTCCAAAACCAATTGACTATGGGAGAGATGGCTTCTCAAATATATTAACTAACCTTGGGTCTACTTAATTTTTCAAAATGGGATATCTCTCTTCACACCCTCCTTTGCGTGCAACTCGGACTCGCATGTGGGATAACAAATAAAATAAAAACAGACTGGGATTGTATTGAAACAAACAGGAAACAGACCGGAAAATTCAAGTGGAAGAGAGATTTAGCCCACCCACTATTCAAATCTCAGCTCTAATACCATGTTAGAGCATCCAATCCAAAACAAATCAGTTATGAATGGAGTGGCCCCTCAAATATAAAACACGGCCACAAGGCTACTTAATTTTCCAATATGGGATATCTCCCTTCACTCCTATTATGTTACTTTCCAATGGTTCTACTTTTATATTATATTGATTTCCTACTATGTTCTACTTTCCTAATAGGGTAGTTGTCTACAATATCAGTCCAATATAAATAGGTGATAAGGTATAGGCAATACACACCCTACACACAATATTGCTCCATAATTTGTGTTGCTTGCTCTCTCCTTCTTCCTATTTCTTTTTCCCTAAACTCTAATATACGATTATTCAAATTTCAACTTAGGATCAAAGCAAGATATTCGAGCGAGTAAGGCCATAGGCGAGCGCCTTACTCACCTAGCAGTTGGGTTGGCCCTACGTACATCGAGTTGTATTCATCTCTATGTTCACCAGTTGTTGTCGTCTTTGTGTTTGGCCCAGTTTAGTGCAAGTTTAATGGTTTTTGGCCTAATTTGGTGCTAGTTTAGTTGTTTTTATTTTGGTTCAATGCCGGATTAATGTTTTATTCTGGTTTAGTATCAGTTCCCTAATTTTCGGCTTAGTTTGGTGCTGATTTAATAGTTTTCACTTTTCCTCCAGATTCAATGTCAATTCAATGTTTTCGGCTCAGTTTACTATCTAGTTAGAACTTTCAACTGTGTTTAATACTTGTTTAGTGCCTTTCAACACGATTTAGCACTTGTTCAAAGTTTTCAATCAAGTTTAGTGTTTGTTCAATGGTTTTTGGGCCAATTTAGTGTTGATTTAATGGTTTAGCGTCAGTTTAGTATTTCTAGTTCGTTTTAGTACCCAATGGATTTTAGACCAATTTAGTGTTGATTTAGTGGTTTCCAAACTGGTTCAGTGTCAGTTCAATCGTTTGCACTTTGGTTCAGTACCAATTTCAGAGTTTTCAATCTGATTTAACATGAAGCAACCACATGGGTTTGTTGCTCAAAAGAAGTATCGTGATATTGTGTGTCGATTCAAAAAGTCTTTGCATGGTCTAAAGCAGTCATCTATAGTTGGTTTTACTATACTTGTTGTTAATGTAGAGATATTGTGACCCTATTTGTAAAGTCGGGTAATCAACTCAATGATATTCTTACTAAACCATTGGCATGTCCACGTTTAATAACCTCTCTTCCAAGCTAGGCATTTTTATCACTATGCTCCAACTTGGAGGAAGTGTTTATTTTCCTGTCTTTCTACTTTCCTAGTATTGTATGTAACTGTCTTCATTATCAGTTGAATATAATAGGTATTGTTTCATAATTTCTTTATTTTTCTCTCTTTCTTTCTTTTCCTAAACCTTAATATGCAATTATTCAAGCTTCAGCTTTTCCAAAACATTTCCGTTTTCGAGCTGACTAAAATTATGTACCAAAATGAAATCCTCATATAAAGATACCCTTCGCTAATATGCTGTCTATTTTTTCAGAGATAACTACAATGATATGTCACTTGGTAAAAACTCAAGGACAAAGTATGATCCTGCTAGAGGCAATTGCCATAAAAGAAGTGTACCAATGAGATTTTAGTGTTTTACTTTGCATGAAAGTACAAAACAAGTAAATAGGTAAATTGGGAGAAAAAAAATATGTGCCCTAATGGTTGGGGAGGCTTTAACTCTTATTCTCCATAGATTTCATCTCTCCTATGCTCTATTTAGTCGCCAATTTTACTAGAGGAGGAGAAAACTTGAAGACCTGAAACGGCCTCTTGGTCCACTCCAGTACCCAACCAGTTATATAGTCTAAGTTTTCATGAGAATGCTACATATTCTCAGCAATCAAAAAGATCATAGTGAATAATTCGAATAATATTTCTATGGAAAAAAAAGAATTTCCTGTGTCATTTAATTACTAGTTATCTATGGGATAAGAAGAGTGAAGAATCATGAAAAAAATTGGATTCACAATCATACTCTGCCGCTTCCCCTTTTAGATCCTTGACTTGTAACTAAACATATCAAGCCTCTCTTTTTCGTCTATATTCTAAGTCGAATGCTTGTTTTTTATAGATGTTAGCAATGTATTGAACCTCAGCCACCAGTAAAATGGTCCATTCAAGCTCACTTGAAATAATTGTGAGTAAAAGGAGATACTCAAATTAAGAGTAAAACCCCGTATATATAGGCAAAATATAAAAATCATAGTAAGGGTAAAAAAGGGAAAAGAAATCCTAAAGGGAAAAGAAATCCTAAAGGGAAAAAAAATCCTAATAAACCTAAGAAAGAGAAATCCTAATAAACCTAGACTATCTATACTCCAACACTCCCCCTCAAGCTAAGCGCAAAAATGTGAACTAAGCCAAGCTTGACAACGGAGTCCCGAAGAATAGACAGAGTGACAGGTTTGGTAAAAATATCCGCAACTTGATCACTGGTCCCCACAAACGATGGAGTAACAAGACCACTGCTGACCTTCTCCCGAAGAAAGTGAACATCGATTTCTATATGCTTCGTTCTCTCATGTAGTACAGAGTCAGAAGCGAGCTGAATAGCAGATTGATTATCACAATATAATGTGGATGGAGAGGTCACTGAAAAACCCAACTCGTCAAGAATCGATCATCACATGTTCCCCCATAATCTGAATCTGAATAACAGGCTAGAGAACCGGTCTGAGATCCTGATGCATAAAACAACCCAAGTCCAGGACAAGACTTGAGGTACTGAAGAATATGATAAACTGCATCAAGATGAGGCTGACATGGCCTATGCATGAACTGACTAACTCGGCTGACTGCGAATGAAATGTCCGGCCTAGTATTGGCTAAGTAGATAAGTCTACCTACCAATCTTTGATAAACTGTCGGATCTTTCAACTCCTCACCTTCAGCAGTAAGCTTCAAGTTTGGAATCATACGTGATAATGCCGGTTTGCACCCCAACATCCCAGTGTCTGAAAGAAGATCCAAAACATACTTTCTCTGAGAAAGAACAATACCTCTGCTTCTACGGGCAACCTCAATCGTATGACTACATCACTGAAGCGAGAGAACCAGACTCGTGGCGACTGTTTCAGTCCATAAAGAGACTTACGCAGTCGACATACCTTTCCAGACAGTCGACATACCTTTCCAGCATACTCCCCCTCACCACGAAAGCCCGGTGGTGCATCCATATAAATAATCTCGTCCAGATCACCGTGAAGAAATGCATTCTTCACATCTAATTGATGAAGAGGCCAAGAGTACTCCGCAGCCAGAGAAATAATTAACCGAACAGTAGTCAATTTTGCCACGGGGGCAAATGTAGCACCAAAATCACGACCTGGTACCTGAGTAAAGCCCTTCGCCACAAGTCTAGCCTTGTAACGATCAATAGTACCATCCGCAAGAAACTTCAGGGTGTAAACCCAGCGACAGCCAACAGGCTTCACCCCTGAAGGTAAGGAGACAAGATCCCATGTATGATTACGCTGAAGAGCGTCCATCTCTGTCTGCATGGCAAGAACCCACTGGGGCTCCCGCATAGCTTCCGAAATAGAGCGAGGAACCAGCGTATCTGATAAGGCCATAGTATAAGCTCGAAATGTGGGAGACAGATTACCATAAGAAACATAAGCAGAGATCGGATATAAAATCTTTGCGGTCCAACCATATCGATCAACTGGACGGCGATCATGCTGCGAGAAGGTGGCTTAAGCTCTGGATGGAGCTTCCAGCAAGTAGCCCTGAGATGTCCTGGTCGGCCACAATAATCACATTGACGGGAATCCCCCCGTCTGCGCTGATTTGGGGCGCCCTGACGACGCTGGTCTGAGCGTTGCCTATCCCTGACTAAGGATCCTGAACGGTCATATCTCCCTGCCGAGCATATGAGAGCTCCTGAGAAAGCTCATAAACACGAACTCCCCGTCCTGACTGAGAATACATCTCTGATAATGCGCTTCATAACTTCGGAACAGAGCTATGAAACTGGTGGATCTTGCAAACAGAGGGCTCCATTGAGCCAAATAACCATCCAAGAATGGCACAGTTTTCAGAGAACCATGCAGAATATCCAGGGTCGGCATCAGCTGGCTTTGGGTGAGATCCCGTCAGCCAACCAAGCTTCCCTACACGGCCTAAGAAAAGCTGGAATGAGCGTGACCACTCAGCGAAGTTACGACCATTCAACAATTGTGCCGTAACTTTTTGAGAGATCATGCCCGGTAATGCTGGTAATGCAACTGTGCTAGTAGGCACTGTATACTGGTCAAACATAAAAGTGGAAGTACCCATAGATGTCTCAAC